TGACATGTGCAAGAAGGAATTCATTAATTCTAGCTTTTTGGGGAGCGCAGCATCTGGAGCAAAGCGAAAAAATACCACCCGAATATGAACTGGCTAAGATTTCGATCTGGTCAAAAGAGATGGCAGGCAGATTACAACTGATACCTCCAGTCTGGTTCCCACTCCAGTGCGCGCGGGCGGGGAGCAAAAGAAGAATAGACGTCTAGCAAAAACCGACACGCACTCCAGGTGCGGCTCGGTCATACCTCGCCCCGACTCATGAAACGAACCCCGACCCAGTGGACACTCGCGGTCGGGTGTCCACTACTCGGGGTCTTCCGTCGTCCGTCATCGTCGCGTTTGAAAATGAGAGAAGACCGTGTGCTACGATATATCCAGAGGCACAACACCCTTGGCGCGTTAATATCCAATCGTTGTCGTTCATCGCATCATCCACCGGTCGAGTGCCGGTATCCTGGGATCGAGAATTTACTCGGACAGGCCAAGGTTCTCCTCAGCAGGGACCACACGGACGGTGTTGGTGTGGCCCTGGCCACCGCGCCAGCCCTGGACACAGACGATGTTGTCGCCCTTGTTGATGATGCCGAGCTTGAGACCGTGGTTGATACCCCACTTGAGACGGCGGTCAACATCCTCCTGCCAGATCTTGACGTTGAAGTCGGGCTTCTTTTCGGGGAAGAGGAAGGGCCAGACACCACGGTACAGGTGGGAGTACTGCGATGGATCGAGTCAGCACAAATCACATGATTGTCACACAGAACACATGGACTTACCCGAGAGGCCTTGGCGTTGCGGGAGACCATGATGATGGGGCAGACAGGGCGGTACTTGGAGACATAACGAGCGGTTTGGCCGCTACATCGCATGTCAGCACATTATTCGATCCAACAGAGGCGCGACACTTACCTAGTGGTCAGGACCACGATGGCACCAGCGTTAAGTTCCAGACTGGCGCTGACGGCGGCCATGGCGATGGACTCGACAGTGTCGGTGGGGCGGGGAGCAAGGTTACGGAGCTCATCGAAGACGTTGAAGTGGGGGATGGCAACTTCGGCGAGCAAGCAGGTCTCGGACATCATCTTGACGGCCTCAGCGGGGTAGGAACCCTTGGCGGTCTCACCAGACAACATGACACAGTCGGCACCGTCGAGAACGGCGTTGGCAACATCGGACACCTCAGCACGAGTGGGGCGGGGGTTGTAGGTCATGGACTCGAGCATCTGGGTAGCGCAGATGACGGGCTTACCCTTGATGTTACACTTGGCAATCATCATCTTTTGGGCGATGAACACCTTGGGGGCGGGGATCTCGATACCAAGGTCACCACGGGCAACCATGACACCGTCGGTCTCCTCGAGAATCTCGTCGAAGTTGTTGACACCCTGCTGGTTCTCAATCTTGGCAATGATCTGGATCTCCTTGCCCTCCTCGCCGAGGACCTCACGGATCTGACGGATGTCGCTGCCGCGGCGGATGAAGGAAGCGAAGACCATGTCGACGTCGTTCTTGACACCGAACTTCAAGTCGGCAATATCCTTCTCGGACAGAGCGGGAAGGTCGACATCAGTGCCGGGCAAGTTGACACCCTTGCGGGAGGAGATGTTGCCGTTGTTCAAGCACTTGACGCGCAGGGTCTTGTCGTCGACGACCTCCAGAACCTCGAAAGACAGGATACCGTCATCGACGTAGATGAGCTTGCCGGGAGCAATCACCTTGGTGATGTTCTTGTAGTCAAGGTACCTACGGGGATGCAGATCAGTCTCCGTTGACTCGAGTGCGCCCACGAATGACGTGGTGATGACTCGCGGAAGATCCCCACGGCGGAATAACTTACATGTTCTTGTCATCACTGGCAGTAGCATATTGCTCATCAGTGGTGATGTTCAGCTCGTGGCCAGCCTTGATGGGGATATCGGCGTCGCCGACGGTGTTTCCGGTACGGATCTCAGGTCCTTTCTACGGTCGGGTCAGATGCGTTGATCGTGAAGCCTGGTTAGAAGCACTTACGGTATCGAGAGCAATAGCCAGAGGCCGGCCCTCCTGGGTGCGAGCAGCCTCGCGGGCGTTGTCGATAACGGATTGGTGGTACTGTCAAAATCAGCATCAGGGCCGAGCGGTGGCTGCAGACCAAGTACTCACCTCGTAAGAACCGTGGGAGAAGTTCATGCGAACAACGTTAAGACCAGCTGGATCACAGGTTAATTCTCAGGAGATCCCCAAGTCGAATACTATCCAACGTACCTCTGCGGAGCATATTGATCTTCTCGGCGGAGTTGGTCTTGGGACCTAGAAGCGAGGCAATGTCAGTAACCGACGAAATCATGGTTGCTGAAGCTCTACGGCAAGACAATCAATGCAATGCGCCTGGGAGATGAGCGTACCGATGGTTCCGATGATGGAGGTGCGGCGGAAGTTCTTGGAGGGGACCATCTCCGTGTTGAGCTTGGAGTGCCACTCCAGCTTCATACGGTTGCTCAGATGGTCGAGAGAGGAACTGGCGGCCATTTTGAATAAGGTGTCTCTACTGAACCGGATAGAAAAAAAGTATCAGAAGAGGTGAGTGAAATTGGAGAGGGAGGAGAGGTTTGGAGAGAAAGGAAGAGAAGAAGAGGAAGAGAAGAAGCAGAAGGGGAAGAAGAGAGGGAGAGAGAGAGAGAGTGGGGGGGGGTGGGAGGAAAGATAGGAAAGAAAAGATGAACAGCGGCGGATCCGGTGAGTGAGCGACCGACTAGACTGGAGCAGAGCAGAGCAGGTCAAGAGGGGTGTGGGTGGGTGAGGATGAGTGGTCCGTTCTTCTTCGGTCTGGAAAAATGTTGGCAGCCGTTTTTACCAGCTCCCTTTTCAGCTTCTCGGTCGGTTCCCCACGGGTAGACTAGCTGGTCCTCCAGTTGCCCACGCCCCCCTTCGTTTCTACGTAACTGAGCTCATTGCTATTATTAATGGCTTTGGTTGTTGTTGTTGTTTTATGGCAACTCTAACTTATCTACGGCCCACGAGTACACATGTAATTCTCATCAAAAAAAAAAGGATCATCCTCTGCTTGACCATCCAAATCCAGTCTGCCAGCTACAGTGTACATCCAGTACTAGGTATTTAAATTTGTACTAGAACCCCGCCGCCAACCGGAGCGAAATCCTCAGGCACACCTCCCTGGCGACTCTCCCAATTCGGTTCCATGTTGAGGAGGGATCCATGATCGCTGATATTTGCCCTATCAACTCCGTAGTATCCTCCTAGTCTATCGCCAACAATTGTCACTTGCTGCTTTCCGTCCAGAACCAGCTTGCCCCGATGGATCATGGACCACATGACAAAACCACTGGAGGAGACTCCATCCCCACCATACCCATCACCTCGATCAATCAGGTGCCGCAGAGGACGAATCTCTCATCTTTTTGCTGGGAACATGGAGCCGAAGTGGATGAGACCAACCCGTAGGGCTGAACAATATGCCTCAGCACAGTACTCACTCATCACAATCAGTCCAATTTGAAAACATGGTCGTGTCCGATGGCATGCAAACAGATTTCGTGTGTGTGACACTCCCATTCCGGGAACTGATGATCGGAGACCTCCGTCACGCACACTCTCGGGCGACCAAGAGCAGCATCAATCTACATGTGTCGTTTAGTTAGTGGTGTCTCGTCTCCCTTTACGCAAGCCAACCATGCACATCCGATCATCACTACTTCACTCTTTTATCATACTTATGTATACTAGGTATCCGTACTGTGTATCGCTAGCTGTACTGCACTTCCGTCCTCAACATCATCTATACTCATCCACCTCCGATTGGCCAGAAGGAACCTCGCCAACCAGGCATCTCCGATGTCTTGATAGCGAGAGCCCAGGCTTCGGTTCCATGCCGACTCGGGACTCCCGGTGAACCCATTGTACCTGTGTTGCCTCAGAGACCAGGCCGCCACTGCCTCAGGCACTTTGCGGCATACTCTCCGCGGCGGCCCGCACTTGGCTTTCTCCGTGCAGAGACTTTAAGACTTTAAGCCCCGGTGCGCGGAGTTTCTTGCCTGGCCGGCACGCACGGCAGTTACTCCGGTCCACACAGGTTGGGTGTATTTGCTTGCGGTTGAATCTGGACTCAAAGATAGGTGGTTGTTGATTCCGCTTGGTGTCCTTGAGATGGAGGTGGGCTTTTGCGTCTTATTTTCTACTGTCTAGATTACTTAACTAGCACTGTAGTAGTCTTGGTGTCTGGTTCATGTATTCGTGGCTTGTCGCTTGCTATGGAGTGTCTTGTGGAGGTAAGAGCGATGTACCCTCTTATGGGCTGTATTGCGTTCTATCATCGATTGTAGACGCATATATCTGGTTCAACGCAACCCCCTAGGTCCTCACTTGAGGATCGCTAATGTCGCCGACCATGTCTTGCTTTCAGCGCTTGTCTTCGGCGGGCAGTTCTTACGGTAGTATACCCAGCTGTCTTCCTCTTCACTGTTGATGTAGTGCATAAGTGCAGCTTCTCCATTAGACCTACTCGAACTTTCCCAATCTCTCAGACAAGAGACACCGTACAAAGTATGGTCTACAAGACTCCTGCAATATACAGCAAAGCACAATACCTAGCGCCTCAATCAAAAGCAGCCCAAAGACAATGGACAGCATCTTGAATTCAAACTTCACATCCACACATCAAGATACCTCACTTCAAACCCCCACCCGCTCTGCAGCCCCTCCCACCAACAAAAGCGAGCGACACAGCCACAACAACCCCTCCCTCTCCCTCCCTCAGCCATAGCCATCAGTCACCCACCCATCTCCCAGCCACCAACAGTGCCAGTAGTACTAGTAGGTGAAGTGTGAACCAGCCTCCGATTCCTCACCGCCTTTCCACCGGTGCCTAAACCACCAACAGTCTGGACAAATCACTCGCCCACGTCATGTGCCCTCGAAGCACGTGAGCCCGTCCACTGCAGTCTGCAGTTCCCTTTCTCCACCATCTTCCCACTTCAACTCCTCATTTCTCCGCTCCGAGCAGGACCGTCCACTTTGAACTTACCCGATCGCATAGCCTACAGGCAGCGCCTGAGTTTTCAGCCCACGTTTCTTAGTACTGTGAGTGGATTCGGGTATTGTTTGGCTGAGAGCGAGAGAGAGAAAGAGACAGTGCAGCTAACGGCGCAGATATCCAGTGTCTTCCTTCCCCTCTCTCTCCCGGGTTGTCGATTGTCGATTGTCGATCTATCTAGCCGCTACTTCGATCGTACCATACCACGCGCGCACGCACGCATACTTCAAGATGGTGGGTTTATCTTTTTACTCGCCAGGAATCTGAAGCGGGGGGTAGCATATGCGAACCGGGGAGATAGGTGTATACTGATTTATGACCGGTTGGTCGGGGCTACTAGTTGGGTCGTCTCAGTCATTACGCTTTTGATGCGGTACTCAGTACGTTTCTCTTTCTCATTCTCTTATCGTGCCCCAGCCATCGTAAGCAGGAGGCAGAAGTTCGGATGCGAAGCGAACCACCAGTGATGCTAACCCGCCCTTCGCTAGTCTCCGCCTTTCTGGCCGGCATCAAGCGGTCGACTGGATTAACGTAATAAACCCCCTCCCGCTTCCCGCGCATGTGCAAACCTCAACCTCCGAGGATTGAGGCTGGGTTGTATTCGACCTCGTTCATCACACTAACTCATCTTCCTCACGCCTGCCCCTGTCCCGGGTTGTGCGTGGGGGTCCTTCACAGCCCCAGTCTCGAAACCGACAAAATCACCGATAATAAGGACTTCAAGCATTGGATCGACAAATACCTCGGCGTCGGCGAGTGGGTGATGGACCAGTCCGTGGCGGTCCTCGGGTCGACCAGCTGGTTTGAGCGGAGACGGTAGAGGGTTGTTGATTATCGTCGGCGGCTGAGTCGGCTGCCCCCCTCTTTCTCTCCTGTCTCAACGTGAATGAAGTGGCAGGGTCGATGAACTTGGAACGGAAATTCGATGTCGAAATCGGCTGCAGCGCCCGTTTACATGCCTGTTTCGGTTATGGTCGGCAGGATAGAGGAAAGAACTCCCCACCCCCTCCCTCTTCTTCCCCGTCAAGCCCGGGTGATCCTCCACGCGTCCGGGTCGGTTTCTTATATGCATGGTGATCGTACGGCGGGGATCCCGCTCGGTTGGTGTTGCAACAGCAAATCATGGCGTTAGGAATATCCTTCATTATCTGTGCACCTTGAGTCGTCTCTTCACTCGTGTACCTGACACTGGCGCTCTCCTTGATATTACCAATGTACATAAACTCATGTCGATAGCAAACAGTTATCGTACCACGCCTGGTTTATCCGCCACAACCGATGCATATCTCGACTACAGTCATCCTTCGCAGAGTGGCTGGGCTGAGAATGCAAGCGACATCACTGAGACTTGAGCCACTCATCCCAAGAGCCAATGGTTGCTCTGCCATGGAGGGAATGGTCACTCCGCCACGATGCTGAGCTCTGGCCCACGTCCGTTGTTGAAGCGCTAACGTGCTTCAATGTAAGACACCAAAGCAATGTACTGGGTAGGTTTCAAGAATGGAGAAGAGTAGATAAATGACATGATGCGCCCATACGTAATGTTTGGAACAACTCGGCCTCACGTCTGGAGTAGTGCACCAACATCGAGTCGGCGGTAGTAAGATATGTGGCCCATTGTTTCCCAGTAGTGAGCCACACAGTCCGTTGAGAGCAGGATCAGTTGAGACGAGATAAAAGTATCTAGAAACTCGGGTCAGAGTAGACAAACACTTGATTCGGAACGATAGTTCTTACCATCACGGAAGCCAAGGCCCGCCACATGGCCTCGGCTGCGCACAATTCGTGCTCCTTGGAAAAGGTCCTCGTCAGCAATCCGCACCAGGCCGCCAGGGCCGATGTCATCCGCTGCAAAGGAGATCTCCCCTCGTGGTACGTTTGGGTCACCGGTCAGCTTGATAGCCTCGAGGCTTCCCTGTAGCGTCGCTTCGCCATCAGTCGGCTCGGCCGCCGCGAGCGATCCATCGCGGTCGCGTTGCAGCACAAGCAGAAATTCGCAGCCGTGGGCTGAATAATCGCCAACCCAAATGCCTTGGTATGGCCTGCGCGGTGTTGGCGTGTACACTGCAGGGTCGAGCGTGGCAAATGTCGAGAGGGTCTCATTCCGACCTGCGGCGAATATGGGAACCCCCAGACGAAAATGCGCCCACCTTCGGATCCGGAAACCATACTCTGACATCTCCTCTAGCTGTCGAGGATTGCGCTCCCACTCTGGTAGCTGTTGCTCGACATCCCGATAGACTCGATGATTGCTCGGGATGGTTGGTGGTGGCCACTGCTTACTGCCATCGAGGTCTGGAGGCAGATATTTTGAGCAGGGTGAAAAGGCATTGAAGACATGCTGCATCTCAAGAGCCATGGGCATGCGAATCTCTCCCTGCAGATAGCGTGACCGCCCCTCGCGCTGGGGCTTCAACAAAAGGACAGGGTCGTCCAACCATAGACTGACCCTCGGATCAAAGCTTTGTATGATAACATCGGGGTTCCAGTCCCATATTTGAAATTGGTGAGAGCGCCGCTCTGCGATGACCCGGTATGCCTCGATCACCCCGCGTCGATGATCATACCGCGCCAGAATCAGATTTCCTGTGTGTTCTGTGTCGGAGAACCAGACTTTGTGCTTAGGAATAAACCAGCAGGGATGGTGGGCAATGTAGAGGCTACGGAAGGAGTCGAAAAGGCCAGGGTCATGAATAGGCTCGGGTAAGTAAGAGTTGATCAGATTCAACCACAGCAGCTCGTTATTGACGTGATCCGCGAGAGAGCGACAGGTAACGGCTACACGGGCAAGCTCTTGGGCTGACAGATAAGCCAGAATCTGCTGGACTAGTTCTGGAGGGAGCTTTAGGATGGGACCTTCCATGATGTCTTCAGTCTCGGAGGTAAGGTCGGCTATGGAGGACTGGAGCCCGTTTTTCTGCTCTGTTGAAGTCTGTCGTGGTTCGCCCAAAGCAGTCTGGCTCGAATACCAACTGGCTGACGCAGTGGCCATCGCAGTGGCTTGGGCGTGGAGAAGGACTGTGGAGCTTGTGTCGAGGGCGCAGTCAACTTCAGAAATGACAGCTCGCAGAGGGTGCCGGGAAAGAGAAGGGATATCTAGACAAAGGCGATCTGCATGTTTTAAGTTAGTGTTAGGGATTGTTGCTTCTTCGACTGGCGAGAGGAGAGTCAGATCGCATGACATCACCCGCAGCAGGCCCGCATCACCTCATCATCCACGCAGCAGAGACCGTGCAACGCTGTTACCAGGACATTTGGAACATTTGAGTCAGGACAAGTAAGGGAGCTTGATCAATTGGTAGCCTGCAGTGTCTCGCATGGAAACGAACCCAAATGTTAGGATGTTTGGGATGAAGTTGGGGAACGACGGTCATTTACTCTGGCCAGAGAAAGTGAGTGATGTGCAGAGCCAAATTTCGTTCCCTGGGAGCGATAAGATAGCAACTACCGCACTGCAGCGGTGGTGTGTGTAATCTGACAGGGGGAGGGAGGCCTTTGTCCTCAGGCTTAGGACTGATAAGTGCCCGAACTATGGTTGATCCACTGTAATCATCCATCAATGGAGCTGAGCTGATGACGCAGAAGTGATAACGTTAGCTAAGTCAGTACCCCGTAGCTTGCGGTCATTGTGAACCTTTCACATGTCATACACACACACAACCCCAATACCGCCTCCATCGCCAGGCACAGAGATAGTCACCTGATGGGCGCAAGGCATCCCCGGGAGGCCCCCAGGCTCCAGGCTCCAGGCTAAGCCCAGCTCGGGATGTTGTTTACGCTTTCCCAATTGAGACATGGCCCTGGGTCCATCACGCGTAAGGAAGGCACGCCCTCGCCCTCGGCACGATCGACCCCTTGCCGAATGTGGAAAAATCATATCAAAATATACTCTGCCAGGTGGCCCCTGTTGCCTCCAGGTTGCGGTTCCATACTTTGTCGCGCTCTGTTGCCTTCGTTGCTCGGTAATATATCGCCTATATCGCCTTTCATGCACTCAACTGCACCACTGCACTTTCATTCGGGTTGCAACACGTTTCTATCATTATTCTGTCCGAGCGGAACCTACCGGTAGATACTATATCTATATCACTGATCTTCCTTTGTTGTACGACCTAAGCGTGTACTGTACTGTACCCCGCCGGGCCAATACGCAATGGTCGTTGAAACAAGACAGCAGTCCGGGCGCAAACGCCGGGTCGGTTCTGTCTCCGGTCCAGAGCCTCAACTCTCAGCGTCCACTCAACGAACAACTCGTCAGTCCAATAGCGCTTATGCCACCGCTACTCCTTCCAAGAGTCGGCGACAGCCTAGGAAGAAGGTCCGCTTCTCCGATCCAGGCCCTCAGCTACACGACGGCTCCGACTATGGGACTGGGCTCACGCCCGCCATGCTACGCACCTCCTTTGAAGAACGGGCGGATATAGATCCTTTGGCTAGCTCTCCAAGTCGCCGCTCGCGACGCCATTCCACGCCACTCCGGAAGACCCGCTTTCAGTCGCCTTCCCCGGCCTCCTCTTCGTCAGCCGGCGTGGAACAGGTGTTTCAATTTACGCCACTTCGACAGCTTCTGGACTCGCGGACGCAACGAAGAATCCGGCGGGTTGGTTTGAGTGATGAGATCAACCAGTTGGAGCGCGAGAAGAGGGACGCAGCACGTTATGAGCGAACCTTGCAGACATTGCTGCGGGAACGTGATTCTTTGAAGCAAGAGCTGGATTCGGTCAAGCGAATCGAGCGCCTGCCCACAGGCGCATCGCTGGAACCGGCTGACGAACCCTCATACGATTCCCCTCAGTCACTAGCCGAGCGTCTGGAGTCCGAAAATCATCGAATGAGGCAGGAACTATCTTTTTCCAGAGATGATCTCGTAGACAGCTCCAGTGTGGCCAACACCGAGAACGACACAATCATCGTCAATGAAAGCGGATTTGACGGAGAAACGATGCTTATCTCGGACTCACCTGATCTCAGATCTCTATGGAAAACTCCACGCTTTGGCATAGATGGTTGTGAACTCTTGCGAAGCGGGAGCCCGAATGCGGATGCGGAAACTCAATTGTCCCTTCCTGACCATGACTCAGAGGCAGAAATCAATGCCCTCTTCGCAGACCTTGAAACTGCTAGGAGAGAGAAACGCGCCCTCTTCGAAGCATGCCGCTTTCGCATTGCGTCCTTTGGTGGAACTACGCTTGAGCCTCATCTTCATCGAACTTCCCCACCGCCAGACTTCGTAGATCAACTGATACCAAGTCTGGCTGAGACCCTTGGTCGAGCTTCGGATGCCACGCAGTCATTGAATTCTATCAAAGAGGAGTTGTCAGAACTGGGATTTCCCGGAATACACGCCGAAGAGATCATCGCAGACATGCGCGATCAGTTCCGCTCCGCACGCTTGCGTCTTGAACGAGCGATTCCTGGAGAGACCCCGAATATAGGCTTGAATGACGGCTGCGCAACTCTTAGTGCTTTGGTCAAACGGATTGAGATCCTGATCAAAAGCTTAGGAGATGAGCGCGCAAGGGCTTTGGGCTCTAGTGATAGGGAAAGAGCCCTTCGTGTTCAATTTGATAACCTCCTGGCTCGTTACGAAGAAGCGAGCAAGAAGATCAGCGGTCTTGAAGAGTCTATTGCCGGCTCTGCTAGCGACATGCTCCATACACGGATGAGGATGCAGGAGCTAGAAAAAGAAGGAGAGGAGCAGGCTGTAGGTATTGACAGACTCAATGCCGCGCTTAACAGGTATCGCGAGGAGATCAGGAGCCTAGAAACACTTGTCACAGAGTTAGAATCAGATAAAGTCACGAACAGCGACATTTACAGTCAGCAGGTGTCGAAGCTTCAACTACAAGTCACAGAACAAGAAAATGCGCGTCGCGTCGCTGAGGGCACAGTTGCAGAGCGTGAGGCCCGCATCCGCGAATTGGAAGACACTGTTGAACAAAACCGTGCTCGATCGTGCCAACTGAGCGTCAGAGTGGAGGAACTGGAGTTGGAGCGTCAGAAGGCAATCGAAAGTCTCGAACAGGAAGCGGCTGAGCAACTTGAACAATGTGAGAAGGAAATCGGTACCCTCAACGTTGTCGTTGCAGAGCTCAACACATCACTCGCGGGTGCCAAGTCAGAGATCGATAGTCTACGGCGGAGCAACGTGGGCTTGGAGCACCAGCTGCGGCTTGAGACCGAAGCTAGGGACAATCTTCTGGAGACATGGGCTGCGGAGCAAGCACGCTCATTTGCTCGAATGAAAGAAACCGTCAGCAACGAACGTCGCAAGGCCAAGGTCCGAGCCGCCAACTGGGAGCTTCGGTCTGATGAACTGCAGTCGGAAAGTACCACACTGGGCAGCGAGCCTATCACACCAGTCAGCATGACCAGATTTATCGATGTGGAGGCTGGACGGGGCGAGCACCGTAAGCGTCTGGACAGTGGCATTGGGATTCTCACCGATGAGCCCGAGGAGGATGCGGCTGCGGGCGCGGATATGCAGGTGTTGCTGCCCTCGGACCCGGCCGACCTATGAGCATTTTCCATTTACTACACTTTTCACAGCTAGACTATGTACCGTCTGACTTGCACGCGTGTACCAGTTCGTTTTGGGACGATACGATCTGTGTTTTGGTCTTGTTTGGTGTCTTGCTAACGGGGTCTGGTTTTTGTTTCGGAATATATCCTTTGCTCTCACTTTGGCCACGTGTAAAACAGTTGAGTCAGACGCTGTGAGCCGTAGGCTCTTGCGCCGTACAAGCTGGGAAAAATATAGCGTTGCATTAAGGATAGTCCTGCACTACAAAACTAGGTGCTATAGATAGATCGAGCATCAGTATAGACAATAGTATAGTGCATACTATATACATAGTAAGAAGCTGTTCATGCCTTAGGATAAGGTTGATCCCGCGTGGGGGCGGACGGTGCTCCTGCCCTGACTGTTGGGTGGTTTGGTTGCCCCGGCAAACAACGGTTGTTTGCTGCTGGGAAGGTCAATTCTGTCCATATTGACCCTCAAGTCAACATTGGAATAATGAGAAAAGCTATGGCACGTGGCATGCAAGGACCTTGCACTGGGCGAACGAACAAGAGGTTTGGTGGACAAGGCAGCCAGCAAGCAGCGCGGAAAAAAAGGAGGTGTGGGAATTCTTCGTATAGTTACAGGTAAAGTCAAGTCACCGACCGACCGGGGTCAAACAACCCAACTACGTACGTAGTACTACGGAGTAGCTTAGAAGAAGCACTAAGCCAGCAGAATCCTTCCACGAATGATTCTAGAAGAGCGCTAAAGCACAGTCCGGTGTCAATGGTATTACGATCGTCTCCCCCCCCCCCCCCCCTCTCCCCATCGGTTGGTCTTGATTCCTGCGAGCCCCTCTTCCATGCAGGGACACGATGGCAGACGGAGGGAGGAGTGAGCTGCAATGCATCAGCCATGCGGGACGGGGCAGATGGACGGACGGACGGACAGACAGACAGCCAGACAGACAGACAGACACATTGTCAGTCAGTGCCAACTGCCAACGATGTCGATACAGAAAGTTATGGAGCGTTTGGGCGCACACGCCTCCTGATCACCCTGCGGGAGACTCCTTGTCCTCCCAAAGGCCATGCTGGCTCGGGAGTTGTCTGCAAGTGCTGTGCTGGGATCCTACCGTATGCATGGTGTGTGTGCCTTCCGGGCAGTGGTGAATGCCCATAACCGCTGGCTGATTCGCTCGTGGGAGCTGCAAGCTGGCCTTTAGTCCAGGGGCGTGGGGTGACTTTTCGGCGCGACTGCAGGAGATTGCAGGGAGCTCGGCCACTAGTTCTGAGTAGTATTACTGAGTCCCCGTACAAGTGCGAAGTACGTAGAGGATAGCGCGCCTCTGGATTGAGGGAGTTTATCCGGGGATTGGAGGGGAAGGAAAAAAAAAACAGGAGTATGTGACAATGGCCGGGGTGTAGGGTCAACCTTGTTTGGGACAGGAAGAAAGGGAGAAATTGGTTCAAGTTCCAAGCACACTGGTTGACGTTTGTTTCATAGGGTCCCTCCCCCCAGAGAGGGGTCGTTTCAAGCGGGCTTGCTTCGATCTGCGTTAGCAATAAAGTTCTGGTAGGGAAGGGACAAAAGACTGTTGGCAAGGGCGCACCGCCATCATTGTTGCTGATTGATGGCTGATTCAAGGGCGAGGAAGAAGTGAGAGAATAAACAGGCGCCTGCATATGAATATGTTGGTTGACCACTGCACCGTTGGGATTTTACTCTCTGAGGAGGTCAATAGTACGTGGGACTATTATGCAGGAGTATCCACTAGAAGGAAGAAATGGAAGAAGGAACAGAGAGATGGAAGTGATAATTGGAATAATAATAATTGTTCTGTTCTGTTCTGTTCTGTTTTGTTTTGTTTCTTGTTTCAATCAAAGTGAAGCCGCGGATCCGACCCCTGAAAACCAAGCCTGTGCCTGAGGCCGGCATCCGGTCATCTCCACTTTTCGACCCGTTCTCGCCTTCTGGCTTCCTTCTCTTCCTCTTCTTCTGCTGCTTCGGCTGCTGTTACGGCCTTCTCCTCTTTCTCTTCTCCCTTCTCTCTCTCTCCACGCCTCCTCCTCCTCCTCCTGCTTCTTTGCATTCTTCTTTCACTCCTCAACTCAAACCATGGTTATTGGAAACAGCCGCCCCTGATTACTGGCCCAAACCACTCAATGCTTTCCTCTTCTGCATCTACTCTCTGTGTTGTTGTTGCTCACCACCATGGTTCTATCTCCTCCTCCCACCTCTGACCTGTCTCACTAGCTTTGGACCCCCCCCCCACCAACCCGAACCAAACCACGTCTCCCTCCCGTTTGTTTTTGTTGTTGGCCTCTGTTTATATCACGTCACACGCTCTCGCTCTCTTCTCCCTCCCCTTCAGGAGCGCGTCTGAATTCCCTACTTGGTGGCATCGCTGCTACCCCTCCGCCATCGATCGCCACTAAATATTATCTACGCCCTTGCCTACCTCCCTTTTCTCCCCTCAGCCAACTCCGCTCCTCTGTCGATCCCCAGGCATCCGGTCCGGGACGATCCGCACCCCAGCTCTCTCCTGACACTCTGCGCCCGCGCTCCTTTATTACCGACCAGAATTCATCATGAATGACACCGGTGGCCATCCAGGCGTGCGGAGCCTGCTTGCTAAGTTCGAAACCAACCAGACCAGCGCTCCCTCACCACCCTCGCGAGGTCGATCCCCTGCCGGCTCTGACAACTCGGGCTCTGCTCGGCCTCTGTCCAAAATTCGTGCGAGTTTCGTCGCTGTTGACGGTGCCACTCAGCCCAACCCTCTCGCAGGCTTGCGCAGTGTCAGTGTGCGCAGCGACAGCCCCGCCGGCCCAACTAGAGTGCGGAGCTTTCACTCGGATGACATGGAAGGTGGTTTGAAGAGCCCTTTGTCACCCACGGGCAATGGCTTCCCATGGAGGACCTCTGCTCCATCCACGACGGAGCCAGAGGTGGCACCGAAGCCAACCATGGAGAAAGTCGCTACGCCTCTAGTAGAGGAGGCCAAGCCGCTGGAAGATAAGGAGAACACCCCTGCCGAGAACACCGCCGCGTCCCCAGCAGCGGCATCGAACCCCTCTTCCCCCAAGAAAACTGCAACCCCGCGCCCAGCTGCAATCCAGGTGGCGAAAAGGTCGTCTCCTGTGAAGCCTGCTACGAAGTCGCCCACTCACCCCCGTACGCCAACGTCCCCAGCCAAGACTGTTGATCACACAACCAAGACTACCCGGGCGTCTAGGCCATCTACCACCGCAAAGCCCACTCCGCATGAGCCCGTGAAAGTTGCAACACAGAAGCCGAGCCGGACATCCCTGAACCCCACGGCTAAGCCCGCTACCAGAACTGTGCGTCCTTCTGCGTCGGCTCGGGATTTGACTAAACCGACAGCGTCGAGCGTTTCTCGCACTACTCGAACGGTGTCTACCTCCACTCGCCCTTCGGCGACCACATCGACCACATCTACAACGGCCAAGAAGGGACCTACTGCAGCCCCCTCTGCTCCTCTGTCGCGCAAGCCATCTACATTGAAGAATGCAAGCGCCACAACCCAGCGCCGCGCCATCACCCCAACGGCTGCGAGCCTTCGCAAACAAGCCCCTCGTGCTTCTCCTCCTGAGAGGCCGCACTCGCGGACAAGCAACACCAGCTCCAAGCCTGTGGATGAGGGTTTCCTGGCAAGAATGATGCGTCCGACGGCCAGTTCTGCCAGCAAGTCACACGACAAGGTTGATATCAAGAGTCCGCCCCGCACCACCCGGACTGCTCAAGCTCCGCGCCGTGTTCCGTCGAAGCTCGAAAGTCGCCCACCCCGTCTGACTAAGCCCGATCATGGCAAGCAGCGTGGAGCCTCTGCAGAGCCTCAGAAGCCTCAGCGTAAGCCGGAGCAGGATGCTGCTCCAAAGGAAACTTTGGCTTCGCATGTGGCTCTTCAGGAGAAGCTTGCAGAGCCTGAGCCCAGCGTTCCCGAAGAGACTCCTGTTGAGGCACCTGTCGCTGAGGAGGAGCTCAAGGAGCCTCAGGAACCCGAGGAGCCTCAGGAGCCAGTGGTTGAAGAGGTGGTTGCTCCTGTGATTGAAGCACCTGCTGAAACTACTGCCATCCCCAATGGTGACGAGGCTAGCGAGGAGCCAGCTGTTGTCGAGGAGCACGCTACTGAGCCTCTTTCTTCTGTTCCAGAGGACCACGCTGTCTCTTCCGCTGAGCCAGCCACAGAGGAGGCCTCTGAGCCGGAAGATCTGGCTGATGAGGTTGTGCCTATCGAGACTCCTGCGGACATTGCTACCGAGACTGCTGAGAAGATCCCCTTGGAGGCTTCGAACGAGGTCAACCTTCCCATGGACAAGCTTGCCCTCAACTGAGGCAGAGCTATGATCCAGATCGTCGGAACCATGAACGGTAGCTGCCCCGGGGTCGAATAAAACAATCTACTCTTCGTTTCTTTTGACATACCTTTCTTATACCCTTGGTAATTGCGATGTGACTAGGCACATGCGCCTGTTTCCACCTGTGTCTTCTCAATAGTTCATCATATGTGTTTTTGATTTTCCTCTTCCCCATTCCTCATTCCTACTTCTCTTCTTTCGGTTCCAGCGAGCCTCTTGTTTCTCCCCAAGGAGCAAGACCGACGATGGTTGCATGTCGGAGCATTGTCCGGTGGAGTTGTTTCGGGATTCGTCGATCTTGATAGTTAGCGCTGTGTACGGAGTACTGCGTCTTGCATATGTACTGGGGTTTTCCGACAGGTTTTTGATCTTGCTTGTGCTGCGTATTCGGTTTGGTATTGAATTGTAGGAGGCCTTAGGCTACTATGTTGAATTATTGGACTGAGTTGCAAGCAACTGTATTTTAAACTTTTTAACAATTGTTAATTGTTCCACCAAGGATGACTTTACTCACTGTCCACATGGAAGAATTATTGAATGCACTATAGTCTTTGGGAGTGCGTAGTTGTGGAAAATGGAATGTTCCATTTGGGGTGTTCTGGGGTTCCTGCAAGATAAGATCGAGATAGGGCTTAGCGCCGAAATGCCCCGGAGCCTAAAACAAAAAACATCCATTGGACTTGTTCCTGCCTGCTCTCCCCTATCCTCAAGAACTCGAGCATTTCAAATCCTATCTTCTACCTAACATCCACCAAACCAGCACAGGCCGAGTTATTGTATCCACTTATTCGCCGGTGTCCTACCTGGATCGGTTAGCACAATGGCGGGAGGACGTCTGATCCGAGAGCAAGGAATCATGGTTCTGGCTGGGGAAGATGGGCCCGGTGGGTCAATCGCAAGAAATTTGTTCACGCCATCACCTAAGAGTCTGAGGGCATTTCACATGGATTCAGAGTGTCTGCTTCGTACACAGCGCTCATTCTCTTCAGGTGCTATCCACCCTCCATTCGCTCGGTCGTTTTATGATCCGTGAGCCTGAGAGAGTGGATCAAACGGTTTTCGACTCCACCAGTCCACCTCGCTTCCCCAGAGTCAAAAATCTACTTACTCCACCTTTTGTGTGCAAAAGAACCTGGTAGCAACCAGCAGTCTACGCTCTGACTGCGACACACACCAAGATGGCAACCACCACCACCACCATCACCAAGACTCCTCCGGTACAGTCGCTGCTGGTGGAAGGTAGCGATGTCCCGTCCTCTGAGAACGATAGTACACGCTCACCCACTGCACGGAAGTTCCGCTTCCAACAGTCGGTGGTGATCGCCCAGCTGTCGGCCGTCACGCTTACCGCCAGTGTCATCAATGGGCTGGTCGTGGTCGGTCTGCCGACGATCACGAAGGACCTGCAACTGCCGTCCTCGCTCTCCTTCTGGCCCTCGTCCGTGAGCAGCCTGGCCACCGCGTCCACTCTGCTGCTGGCGGGGTCCATCGCCGATGCCATCGGCCCGCGATGGGTTGAGCTCGTCGGCTCATTCGCCAGTGGCCTGCTGATGATCGGGCAAGGGCTGTCCCGCAACGGGGACGAGCTGGTCGTGCTGCGCGCCCTGCAGGGCGTCGGGCTGGCGTTCCATCTCGCCTCGTCGATCTCCATCATCACGCAGCTCCTGCCTCCCGGCCAGGGCCGCAACCTCGCCTTCTCCTGTCTGGGTCTCAGCCAGCCCCTTGGTTTTTCTTTAGGGTTGGTCGTCGGAGGTGTACTCGTGGACACCATCGGCTGGCGTGCGGGCTGGCATCTGGCCGGTGGAATCACCCTGTTTTTCGCAGTCGTCGGCCTGTGGGCTGTCCCGCAGAGCGAGACCCATCGACACGCGGACTTGATGCACAATGTCAAGACGCAGATCGACTGGGTTGGCGCTGGGCTCGCCTCGGCCTTTATGGCGTTGGTGTGCTATCTGTTGGCGTGAGTAACTTGCCGGGGTCCCCGTCTGGAATCTACTTTTATTCCAACCCAACACCTAACTAATTACATGACTTCTGAAAGCATCCTGAGCGCCGATCCATCGCGCATCCGCTCCGCCGAGGCAATCGTCATCCTCTGCGTGGCGGCCGTCGCCCTTCCCGCGTTCGTCTACTGGATGCACCACCAGGTCAAGCGGAACAAACCGGCTCTCATCCCCAACTCCCTCTGGCGCAACAAGTCATTCAGCAGTATCAGCGTGACAATCGCCGTATCCAACGCAGTGATCAACTCCATGGAACTCTTCGCCAGTCTATAGTACGTCTTTGCCCAGCAATGCTCAGTCCACCCCTCCGTTCACCCACCCCAAACAACAACAACTAACCCGGGAATAAAAAAAAACAGCTTCCAAGAGATCCAATCTCTCTCCGCCCTCCAAGCCTCCATCCGTATCCTCCCCAGCCTGGTAATCGGCATCCTCATGAATTTTGTGATCGGGGTCTTCGTCCACCGCGTCCCCGCCTTCTGGATCGTGACGGTGACCTCGATCCTCTGCGCCGGCTCCCCGCTCCTCATGGCCCTGATCCAGCCTTCCTGGCCCTACTGGGCCAACGCCTTCATCGCCCAGCTCCTGCAGCCCGTCAGCTTCGACGCCCTGTACACCGTCGGCCTGATCATCATCACGGACAGTTTCCCCGATACGACGCAGGCGCTGGCCGGCGCGGTGTTCAACACCTCGGCGCAGTTCGGCAGTGCGCTGGGCATGGCCGTGCTGCAGGTGATCTCGACGGTGGTGGCCGCCGAGAATGCTTCCCGGGAAGAAAAGCAGGCGTTGATGGCGGGCTATCGGGCGAGCTTTTGGACCATGTTTGGTTTTATGGTTGTCTGTACGGTTGTCGGGTTTGTCGGGTTGAGGAAGACGGGGAGGGTGGGGTTGAAGAGGGATTAGGGGTGTTTTTTCTTGCAATGGGATTGGGGACGGTGGGGGAGGGGGTTATCTTGTGTGTAGGGTTCTTGGGTTGTTGGGTATTTGTATATACTCATGCTATGATGGATTGTGGTTGGGTTGTGTGGAGTGTATTGTATATGTGGGTCCGTTTTTATGCATTGTTTCTCGATTGTCAACTACATATGAGGAAAGGTGGTTCCAGAGCATAATGTCAACCGTAGAATAGCCGAGATTACCATACAACGCAATCCTATCATGACAGGAGCAAATATACACCGACCATCCAACTAGAACTACACCCTTGGATAGGCTCGTGCAGCAACAACAACAGCAGCTACAGCCTTTTCTCCAACTTCTTCAGAAACCGGTTCACGCTGCTCTCCACCCGGTACGCGCTCTTCACAAACGTCTGCGGCCGATCCCCGGGGTTCTTCATCGCCTCCTTCGCGTACTTCTGGTGGCGTGAGGTCGCCTCCGCCTCCGTGGGTCGGTACATCTGTCGGTGGATGTCGTACTCGGCCGGTGCGTTGCCGCCCGCCACGGTGCCCGGTTGCTCGTACGTGTAGTTCGAGTAGCCGGCTATCGCTACAGCGGGGTGGATGGGAGGCGGTGGGGTGGTCTGGGGGTGTTGGTATTGGTACTGATATTGGTTTGTGTACGGGGACTGGGTTTGGGGCTGGGTTTGGGGTTGGGTTTGTGAAGGGGGTGAGAGGGGCTCGGTAGGAGGAGGTGCAAAGCTCATGGTGGCTGCAGCGGCAGCTGGGTTTGCATTCTGGGCTGTTGCGTCGGTGGCGGGTGGTGGTGCGAACGTCATGGTGGTTGCTTGCGGCGGTCCGGGCGGTCCAGGGAGGGAGCCCGTGCTGCTGAGCGAGCTGCGGGGCTGGTGCTGATATCCCGGGCTTTCGCCGGAGAGGAAGGCTGTGGTGTACGACGGGACTCCAGGGGGGCTGGAGATGGATGCGGATCGTGTCACCGAGGGAGAAAAGCTCAGCCCCGTGCTTGGGGGTGGAGATGCGTAGGTTCCTGGCATGGTAGTGTGGGGGCCTGGTGACGCAGGCGAAGAGATCAGAGACGATAGTCCCGGTGATGCTGGAGCAGCAGAAGAGGGGAACGGGAATCCCTGATCCGGTGCAGCGGCGGCAGCCGCGAGACCCGTGCCATTCGCGTAGTCTTCTGGAGGCGGAGTCTTTTCACGGTGCTTGATCGGCTCCGGAGCGGCCGGCGCGGCGGGGTTGTAAGGAAGAGGGGCGGACTGAGGGGCCGGGTCTTGATGTTGCTGTTCAGTCGAAGTAAAGTGAGATCCAGTGGGAGCAACGGTAGACGACAGCGGAGGTGGAGGAGGGAGAGTGCTTGACGGGGTGATGGCTTGGTAGTTTGATGCAGGGTTGGCGACCACTTCTGCCTGAGAGTTGCGCGTCTGTCCGTTCTGATATGCGGGATCAGTGATGGCCACTGTCTCCAGCTGTTGGACCACCGAGCTGACGGTACTCTGAGGTGGAGGGAGATATGGGTGTCGGTCGGTTTTAATCTGCGCTGCGGGTAAATCCCGCTCAATGATATCAAGAAACTGGTTCGCATCCTCCACGGTCCAGAAGTAGATGTCCAGCGTGTGCAGGCGCATCGAGTTCTGCGTATCATCTTCGACAAGCTCCCATTCAGCTGCAGTGCCTGGCGGGGGAGGGAAAGCAGGCGCATTCTGCGCCGCAGTTTGCGACTGTCCGTCTACCGTTACTGTGCAAAGGGTCGGAAATTGGGTTGAGTGTCGCACATGGATCTTGTCCAGAGCTAGGAACCGGTCAGTAAATCTAAGCACAGTGTGGAAAGGAGGCAATCTTAGCTAACCTCCATTGAAAGCGTCTTGGGCCGGGGTACCCGGGTTATTCGCAACTTCAATTCTGATGCTGTGCTGGGCAGCGCTCTGGTAGAGATATAGATAGGAACCTTTGTCAAATCGGTGACGACGAGTCCTTGGACTTGGTTGCGCGAAATAGTAATGGATGTCGGCGAAGCTACAGGCGTGTCAGCTCATTCATACGATGGCTGGTGGCGAGATTGGCGGGGTAAGAAACATCGCAAGCTTGAACTTACACTGTCAGCACTCGCTCCTCACCCGGCAGTGGTGGCATTGTAAGTGGATGTTGATGTTGCTTAGTTCAAGAGAAAGTGATACACCATAAGGTCGGTCAACTGTAGATGAAAGTAAGGGAAAAGAAGGCCCATCGACCAAGTGCAAGGCAGTGAGCGACATTTTAAACATCGGAAACTCCATCAGAGGGGAAGATCTGACTGGCTTGTGACAAGGTGAGGAGATGCAGCGTGCAGAAGCCCGGCGGCTACAGAAGTACTACTTCCGATCTTTAATTGGTTGCCGCTTCGGCAACTTCCAAGTTGTGTATAGGTGCCTTAGGTTTATGCCTGGAGTTTCAGGCACCCACCCGGAAGCCGTGCTTTTGTTTCTCCGAAAATTTCATCTGAGCTTCCCGCCGCATCCTCGGAGGTACTCTGGTTACCGCGAACGCGATTGACGACCATACCTTTGGCTGACTGCAGCAGAGCCTAATCATTTTACAATCGCTTCAGTCTTGACGCCGATCCTCGATCTCGTTTCTTGCAGGTACGTTTCGTCCCGGTATTCACCTTGTGGTAGTGCTTAGTGCTGTGTCGCTCACGCTTCTCCCCGCCAGCGGTCTATCCTGCTTTCCCGCACCGTGTATCCTGTCTTGCATTGAGAATCGACCACCGATATTCGGTCTCACGATACAAAAATGTCTCTCTCCAACCTCTCCCACGTGATCTCCCACCTGAACAATGTCACCAAGGCCCGCCTCGGTCTCACCTCGATCCCCAACACCAAGCTACACCTGAAGCTCTGCCTTGCGCTGCAAAATGACGGATACATCTCTACAGTTGTTCGCGGCGGCCCGACTCCCCCCGCTCCGCATGAGCTCCTTGGCCATCCCAGCTCACAGGACATCGAACCTGTGACCCAAGCCAACGTCGCCACCAGACGCCTCTGGCTCGGATTGAAGTACTGGCGCAGCGAGCCGGTTCTGGGCAAGATGAAGATGATCAGCACGCCTAAACGGAGAGTGACCGCCAAGCTCCCGGATCTTCGGCGCGTGGTCCGAGGCCACAACACTGCCTACCTCGAGGGCCTGCGGTCGCCGGGTGAGAGCTTATACATCTCGACGGATAAGGGCATCATGGAGGCGAGAGAGTGCGTTGAAAAGAAGAGTGGCGGTCTGGTCCTGTGCCGGATCAAGTAAGCTGGGAGGGTGAAGGAGAGCTTTCATGTCTGAGAGTTGCTTGGGCTTTGCATTTTTAATCGGAGTTTGGCCAGTCGCAATGTCTCCTCGCATGCCGTGTATGTTCATATTTTCTCATTATTTGCGACTGCTGGTTGGATACCTTGTATAGTAACATAACCCATTTCCTTTGATCCATTATCTATATTGCTCGGTCGAGCTTCTCTTTATGGGTCGCATGGTGACGACTGCAGGCGATCGAAGTCTGGACTGAGGTGCCTGCTGGTCAGCAGGCACTGGAAGGTGCTCAGTACTCGAGGCGGTCATCCTTCTGATACCGGGTGTGTATTAGAAGTCATGCGACTGGCGAGCTTCGACCATCGCATGCCATGCACAATTCGGCAGCCATGAGCTGTGAAGGCGCCCGCTGAGTTGTTCTAGGTTGTCTCTGGACTATGTATTTAGCGACTTCATTGATCGATAGCATCTAGCATTCCTGCCTCCATGTGCTTGCTAAAGTCACTGCTTTGTCTTCACCACTTGCGATTCGCCGAATGCAGCCCCAAAGACGCAGCCCCAAAGACACGATAACCGACTATGGACCAGTCTGCTGAGATCTCTTCTACCACCATAGTTCGGGATTTTGTTGTTTCTCTGCTTCAGTCTGGACAATGGTTTTCTTTTCCTGCTGCTGGGCTAATCTCGAACCCCGCGAGGGGTCGTCTGATCGCAGCTTGCTTTGAAACTAGAGGAACTTTTTCTACGATCGCTTCCAGTCTTATGACTGGGTACATGACAGCGTCTGAACAGTTGTTCATCGGATCGACCCGTCGGGACCGGCTATGTTGTTCTGCATTCTTCATTCCGGCTGTAGCATGCTGTTAATGCCGCAACATCCTCATCAGCCAGTCTGCCCGGCTCGACGGAGGTTCCTTGTCTTGCGAAGCAGCCTAGGAATTTAGTGTCGCTCGATCTCCGCCCACATAGCAGCCAAGCCTATGGGAGTTTGTGGTCGGGAGGTGATGCTGCTGAGATTTCATGGAATGATAGCGTTAGGCCGCCACCAGACGCTCGTAGATGTGGTGCCAGTTGAATATTTGCCGTGATCGCCGACAGGTCAAGACGATAATTGTATTACGGAGCTCGTGTTGGGTCCCGTATTCGACCTGCGGTGGTTGTTTCCTCGGAACAAATGCGTGTCTACCGAGACTCGATATGCTGCTGACTGACTCGAGCAATGGGAAACAGGTCGTTCCTTGCGGAACGATTTATCGAAGGCTGGCCATATGTAGGACAGTGAAACCGGGAGTTGTAGGAGAAATGACATAAGACAGAGGCTCCAGTTGGGTTTGGCATTAAGCATGGCAGTGGAGGAGAAGTTCGTTGCCCGGGAATGGCACACCCACGAATCAGTTTCGCTCCCTTGTCGGGAAGTTAACTTAGCGACCTCTCGTTGGGTCGCAATAACGTACACCATTTTCATTTTTGAAAACCCCGTACTCCGGCATTGTCTCGCCATTGGCGTCTGGATCAATCGATCGGATCATCGGTCAACTTGGATAACAAGAGCTTATTCGTTCCCTTCTCGCGTTTTCCTTGATTCCCGATCACCATCATCATGCTCGGATTGAGGATCTCCTGCTAATGCCAACTTCACCAATACCGGGGTCAACAGGCAATGATAATTCCGGACACTACCCGTCTTGTCAGGGATCCCAGGATTTCCTCAGTATAAGATGCCTCCATTCAGTCTTTCAGGATCGGAAAAGCATGGTTTTATAGCCAATAACTCAGTGAAGCTATTGCTGCGTGTCGGTGGCCTAGATGAGCACTGCGGCCGCAAAATGATTGCCCGCGCCAATAGAGGGTTGGCCAACACATCCGCTCTGGGCTTGGGCGACCAGGCGTGCAGCAAGGTGTCTGCCCAACATCCTCGAGGGATCAATGGCAATCAGGTTGAGAACTGCAAGCTCCCCTCCCCACACTCAAACCTCGACTGTTGGGCCGCCACCCGTGTGGTATGGAGCAGCAGTTGATATCTGCTTCCGACCCACCCCTGATTGTATCTCTAGTGTGTTCATTATCATTGCCCTTTGTGCTGTAGAGTAGTCTGCGTGCGCCGTGGTCGTTTTCGAATGCTACATGGAAAGGCTAAGCAATCTCCCAGCGAGGGCTCGTGGTGGTATTGGTGTAATCAATGCTGGTGGTCACTATGGTCATCTATCATGGCATACAGGCCAGTGCCTGGATAGATTGCATAGTTATCGGTGGATTGGCATTGAAGGATCTATGAATAGATAGATGGTTAGTGGAGACGGGGACCGTAATGGGGAATTGAAATATCAGGCTGTGGTGGAAATTGGGATTGTACCAGGTTAGCTGGCTGGTTTGCTTGCTTTAATTGCTTGCTTTGATTCAGTGACAATGACTGCTAGGTAGGTACCTAGTAGGTACTGTAGTCTGATATTGCTTCAGGGCGAGGCATGTAGGCAGGCAGGCTGTCGGAGGACTGAGGCATCCACTGCCCTTTCCGGAAAGGGATGGTGGCTGCAGTGTGCAATCATCCTCAAACTGTCAACCATGGAGTACACACCGTGCTTCTCCCCACCATATTCATCTCCCCCCCTCCACCCCCCTTTTTTCTTCTTTTGATGCTCTGTATCCAGCCACCCACCCCACTCTAGTCCTCTTCGACGCAAGTGGAGACACTGGAAACGCTGGCGACAGGCAAGACGAAAGAGGGACCAAATGGGATCATCCACTCTGTGCCCAGGAACTCTAAACAAAAGCAGTCTCCCGCGCCAAACTGCCATTGAACACCTAGAACCTGCATTGGGTCAATTGCCTGGATATGTCGTCCTCCCTCCATCGAGTGGATGCATCTTCCCTGCGCAGTCCGGCCGGTTCTTTGCTGCCCAAAACCCTACGCATCACCGAATCCTTCAACTCCTCTTCTCTTACGTTTGGTTTTGACAACCGCGGTTGGGGATGAGATCAGCGCATGAGAGTTGGCGAGAGCCTGCTGATGGGTAGTTTGGCTGCCTTTTGCAGCCGGGTTCATCCATGGCCCTGTACCCCATTATGCCTGTGCAGCTCCCCACTCTCTCTGCTTTTATTGTCGTGAATGCCGCTTTGCTTATTACCATGGCCTAATTATCGTCGACCTAGCCGTGCCGGGCGTCTCTGGCTCAATCGATCCTACTAGCTTGCCCTGTCAATCGAATGGAGCACTGTGGGGTCGAACCTCGATTGGATATGGGTCCGAGATAGATCCTTTGTCGCCGTATATACAACTGACCTATATGACTACCAGTGGGCACGCGGTTGCTCTCTGACAAGGACGGGTTGGCTTCTAGGCTGATCGAGTCTCCCAGTTGCCACTGCTGTGGAGCTCTTCATGTCCTCTCCTTCTTCGTAACTCACGCGGTCCAGAGATAAAAAGCTTATCTGGCGCCTGCAACAAATTGTTCTTGTACCTGCCATTCATTCCAGTCAGGTTATTCTTATAAACGTCTTCTCTATTTGTTGTTAGATTCAGTCTCCGATGGTCTGGACTGACTCGCCACCGTCCTTCACAATTCCACAACCACTCAGCTTCCCAGTACAGTTCGTCACGCCAGTCACTATAGCTTTTCAACTTCATGCCATCTGTTATCTCGCCTCCATTGATCACCATGTCATCGGGCCTTAGTTACTTCTCGCGGGTAACAGGAAGCAGTGGCTCTTGTACGCAGTCCATTGGCAGCGATGATTCTTGGTCCCATCACAGGTTAGCACGAACCGAGATCTTCTGTATCTCGTCTTTGTCAAGACATGTAAGTCATGTGGAGAGCTCACCTTTTGCAGTGGTATTGCGCCCCAACAGCCGCCGATGTATGGGACCCCGAGCGAAAGTCCTATCATTTACCACCCAAGGTACCACTTCATCTTGTATTACCATTCAGCATCCTCCCCAGAAGCATTCTTTACCGAGGGAAAACTCACTCATAAGCAGCTCTACAAGGATGTCACCACCCCGCATTGAACGCGGACCCATGAACGTCCCGAGTGCTGCCGCGAGGGGCCCCAAACCTATTTCACCGGATTTTAACTTCTCTATGCCGTACAGCGGGCTGCCAGTGACTTCCCAGATCAATGCCAATATAGCTGCACCATCAGGAACTTCACTACCACGCCCCGTCCCTCATTATCCGGAGTGGAACCATCCTGCTCGCTTGCCGGCGGAGTCTTTGAGACGGGAATATGACTTTGCCAGGTCTTTCGAGACGCCGGAATACATGGTTGAGAGGAACAGCCGACGGTCTGGTGAAAAGTTCAAGGGCACAACCCGATACCATTCACAGAGAAGACCATCGAACCGGGATGAGTTTGACGGCCCCCATCAATTACTTGAACCTCCCTCTCCGCGTGTGATCGCGGCACAAGGAAGGGACTTGCCTCATCTACCTACTAATCTTGATGTTTCAGAACAAGATCGTATCCTGTCCTCGGTGAACGACCGACTATCGCAGTGCGCGTTTGACTTTGTTGCAAAGTACCAGTTTCCAATCCCACTGGAGCCTGACAAGAGACAGGTGAGAGTTCCCTCAGACCGTGAATGGACTGAGTGGGTATACCTCCTCAAAAGACTGGCCACCAAGCGGCGGATCCCCGCCAGGGTCCTGTATAACGGCCAGATCAAGCAGTTAGTCACCATACTGGAGAACTCCTTGGAGATGCGCCATGCTGCCAAGCATCAATCCAGGCCCATCAAGGACGATCGCAACGTCCTTCAGCTTATCTCCGCCGGCACGCAGGTGGCCAAGATCTTGAAGGATGCCGCTGCGATGGAGTACCTTGACAATCTTTATGTTGACACGGAGAAGCGCATTCAGGACCGGCGCAGTCGCCGAGTGACATTTGCCGGCCCTTGACCTCGGATATTGGATCCTCAGTGATGATATTAATGAGTTTTCCCTTTTGGCAGTGGCCGCGATTCCACCATGTTATAGACCCATCCGGCTGGAAAAAAACATTCTGCCATTTCCGTCAGGCGTTTCCCTTGTCCATTGGAGGGTAGCCCAAGGAAGTTACTCCCAGGAGCCACGTGCGTTCGTCTCTCATGGACCTTATGGACCCTCTCCCAGTGACTTTGCCGAAGTGGTGAACCTGAATTCGGTCTATACGAGCAAAGCTATGACACCGGCGGCCGAAATCCAACTAGAGATTCCCATTCCCAGACAGTCCTTGGTCTGGGGACTGACTTGGCCTACTGATAACGATGAAACTATGCCGCTACTTGATAAATATTTACGCGATCGAGAGTATTCACAGCCCTTTGCATCTATTGACTAGGACTCTCTTCTATCCTCCTCATGATTACGGCCTATATGCGTTCTTTTCTTTTCCATTTCGGGCTTTTCTGTTGTTCTTGTGAGAAACAATTCTCGGTTTTGACTTTTCCCTCGGTGACAGTGATTGTCAATCAGCCCGAGCTGCATGTTTCTGTTCACTTTTTCTTGTACTACACCCTTCAGGTGGATTGTGGTGGCTTTCTCATTTGCCTGCCTTGCCTCTTGCCCTCCTTTGAGTTCAAGTTCAAATTGTCCATGTTGCTGGCTTCCACTCTACCAGCTTTTCTTTGAATATTGAAGGCCCGTGCCTTGGCCTATCAGTGCAAGACCGGCTGTGTCTCTCAGTGCTGAGGCGGAAGGGACTCCTCTTGTGCATCAACATAGACCCGGGGTCACTGAGACTTATTGCAGAACATGGATGTATTTCTTTTTTTTTTCTATCACTCTATTGGTGTAGAAGTCTAGACGGACGCTCGATGTATTGTCTGCTAATTGGTAATGGGTGCGGCACAGTAAGATTATGTCTGGAATGTGCGTGACAGAAGGAAGAATACAAAGCAATCTAGGTGTACTGTACATTTGTGACAGAAGGACATACAGTCAGTGAGCAAGCGAGATAGCCAAGAGGCAGGCGGCTGGGGCCGCGAACGAGGCTAGTCGTCTTCACCGGACTTCCAAGTACCTCAGAGTGTCCAAATAATACGTATCTGATTCTATGGTATGGCTGAAGTGCAAGGCAAAAGTGCTTCGAAAGGTACGTGATGGTACTGTGCAGAAAACTGGCTTCATCGGGGGGCTGGTGAAAGCATGAATAGGGAATTGCTCATAATTAGACCTCTAGATCAGCATCTAAATGGGGAAGAAAAGGAGAATAATGTTACAGATAGATCACACGGTCATCAGCATTCCGCAGCAGGAGTCGTGGAGATTCGGGAAGGAACAAAGGCCGGGGGAATGAGGGGAGTGGGAAGGAAGCGTCTATAACCGAAAAATCAAAGCCACCCTCTTGCCTCGCGAAAGACATTGCGAAGAACCGCCCACAGCGAGCGGGGAGCCGGCCGTCGCCTCCAGAACTGCAGACCCACCGCCACCGCCGACAGACCGGCCACCAGGGCCGCGGCGCCGAGCCCCAAGCCCAGCAAGCGACCCTGTCTGCGCACGGCCTGCACCACCTCCGAGTACCGCTGGTTGCTGAAGCTGACGCGGGTGTACTGCGTCTGCCAGCCCAGACCGGGCAGGTAGCGGTCCATGGACTCCTCGACGGCCTTGCGCAGCCGGTACAGCGGGGACTTGACGCCCCAGCGCATCTCGAGGAAGTTCTGCTTCGAGAGGTCGTTGATGGCGTGCGTGTCGGCCGCGCGCTGGTCCGTGTAGGCCTGCAGCGCGCGCCGGCGGGCCTCGCGGCGGTGCTTGGGGTCGTCCTGCATTCCCGGGCTGAAGCTGTTGCTGTAGACCCCGTGCCGATCCAGGATGTCGAACAGCGTCCGGATGTCCTCCAGCCCGGCGTTGAGGCCCTGGCCGTAGAACGGGAGGACGGCGTGCGCAGCGTCGCCGACGACGACGACGCTGGCGTCGTAGTGGTGGGGTTTGCATTTCAGGCTGATGAGGGGCAGGTGCTGGTTGGCCGTGAACTGTTCGTGCAGGGCCTCCGGGGTGATGAGGTCCGGGCACACCCCGGGGAAGTTGGTGTCAAAGAACTCGATCAGTCGGTCGGGGGAGCTGGCCGAGAGGGTGTCGTAGTAGTCGGCGGGCGCGAAGAGCGTGCAGGTGAAGGACCGGTCGGCCGACGGGATGGCGATGAACATGAATTCCTTGCCGGGCCAGATGTGCAGGTGGTTCGGGGAGATGAGGAAGTCGTTGGTCGTCGGGGACGGCGGGATGCGGAACTCGCACCACAGCGTGTCGATGTACTCTTGCTGGTAGTCGACGCGGGCGAACTTCATCATGTGGTAGCGCGCTGCCGAGTGGGCCCCGTCGGCGCCGATGAGGAGGTCGAAGGTCGCTTCGACTTCTGTAGCTTTGTCGTAGGGATTGCTCCCGGGGTCGCGCCGTTCGAACCAGGCCCGGTTGGCGCGAAAGTCGGCCCCGACGAGCTTGTGGTTGAAGAAGAGTCGCACGTTGGGGGTCTGCTCCAACTCATCCAGAAAGGCGTTGTTCAGGGTGCCGCGGTCGACTGCGTTGATTGCCTGATGGTGTGTTGTTAGAGGGGAGCTTTTGCTGGATGCTGGATGCTGGATGGGTTTGGTTGAGGGGCATGTTGGCGGGGATGTAAACCATGAAGGGAAATAACGTACTCGGCCGTGAACGTCGTATGCTTGAGCAGCTTCCCAGAGCTTGCCATCTGTCCGGCCGTGGATCATGCGTCCATGCATGGGAATCGAGTCCGCGAGAACCCGATTGATGAGTTCATCACGGTGCGACTCCCGCATGGCGTTGATGCCTCGCTCCGACAGCGCCAGATTGATAGACTTTGTGAAGTTTAGCGGAATAGTCGCCGGATCACGCAGATCTGTAGGTCATGTTATTGAGCCAAGTCGTTGAGGCTTATGAGAGCGCAGTTATAGATATCGAAGTGGGGTCGATAAGAAGTGGATCAGGGTCGCGATATGGCAGAAACGGCGAACGCAGGTCGAATCTGTGACAGGAGAATGTATCGAATAGAAACAACAGCGACTAAACTCACCTCCGCGTAGCTCATATACTTCAACATCGTCGCCTCGGGCTGCTGCATAGAGAGCTGCAAGGGACCCCACCGGGCCTGCGCCCACGATGACAACTTTTTGTTTGGCAGGTGTGGAATGTGCCATGGCGGGGGGCGAAGTGACGATCAAGGGAGAGTCGAAAAGAAGAAGTCTCACTCACGACAGCTCTTGAAGTAAAGTAAGTAGAAGCCCACAGACCCTAGAGATGTAGGTATACAACCTCAGGCAGTTCTGTGCTTTTGCAGCTCTTGGCTCGAAAAGTCACAGTGTGGCGTGATACAACAGATTACAAATTGAGATGTTGACTGGTTCCAGACTGGTTTTGATGCGTCACCAACTCGGACCGGAAGAAGAAAAGACGGCCGGCGGAGCCCCACATGCCGTTTTCTGCCATTCATCTCCTCCAATCAGCCACTATTCTCCGATCTACGTTTCCGAGGCACGTGATGTAGACGCGCGCTTCCAGATCAGCCGCTAGTCTCTGTCGGGATAGCGGTCCCATGCCCTGCGCTAGACCGTCTTAGGAATGGTACCTAGTTTTCACTTCAGTTCTGCCTGGGTTGGCGGAACGGCGATTGGCGCCGCTCAGCCGCGGGGGATTGTCCCATTTTTTCCCTCTTTGCGCGGCGGAACATTTCCATACCCCTTCGGAAGCATCGCTATTTCTGTTTCTCTACCTCCTTCTCTGCATCCTAGACACTTTCAAGATGACTGCCGAAGTCGCTGCCCGGAAATGTATCGGCGTGGATTGCGATAAGAATGCCGGAACGCTACAGTGTCCAACTTGCCTTAAACAAGGGACGGATAGCTTCTTCTGCTCGCAGGACTGTTTCAAGAAGAGCTGGGTATGGATTTCTTTTGCCTCTCTGCGACGCTCGTCCTTCGACCATGGCTGATCCCCCCCTGCACAGAGCGAACACAAGACGATTCACAAGAAGAGTAATTTCCTGAGCAACCTCTTTACACCCAAAGTAGTTTCTGAACCAGATCCAGCCACGGGGCTCTACAACCCCTTCCCTTCCTACCCTTTCGCCGGTGACTTGAGACCCGTATATCCGCTGTCCCCCCGGAGAACCGTCCCCAAGTCCATCCCTCACCCCGACTACGCCAAGGATGGTATTCCCCGGTCCGAGCAGAAGTTCGTTGGCCGTCACAACATCACTATCCTGAACAAGGAGGAGCAGGAGGGTATGCGCAAAGTGTGTCGCTTGGCTCGTGAAGTTCTGGATATTGCTGCACGGGAGATTAAGCCTGGTGTCACAACCGACTACATTGATGAGGTGGTCCACAAGGCTTGCGTTGAGCGTGATGTAAGTGGTGTCATGGTCTGCCAGCGGAGGATGCTACAAAGTGCGTTTCTTGAATGACCTTCGAAACTAATGCGGCCTAGTCCTACCCCTCGCCACTCAACTACGTCAACTTCCCCAAGTCGGTATGTACCTCAATCAACGAGATTATTTGCCACGGTATCCCCGATCAGCGCCCCTTGGAGGACGGCGACATTGTCAACATCGACGTGACCCTGTACCACAACGGCTTCCACGGCGATATCAACGAGACCTACTACGTCGGCGACAAGGCCAAGGCCAACCCAGACGCCGTGCGAGTAGTGGAGACCGCGCGAGAGTGCTTGGACCAGTCCATCGCGCTGGTCAAGCCCGGCATGCTGTTCCGAGACCCCGGTAATGTGATCGAGAAGCACGCCAAGTCCCGCGACTGCAGTGTGGTCAAGAGTTATTGTGGTCACGGTATCAACCAGCTCTTCCACTGCGCTCCCAACGTCCCCCACTACGCAAAGAACAAGGCGGTCGGCACGGCCAAGCCCGGCATGTGCTTCACCATCGAGCCGATGATCAACCTGGGTACCCACCGCGACCGTACGTGGCCGGATGACTGGACCAGCTCCACTGCTGATGGCAAGCTGTCCGCTCAGTTTGAGCACACGCTGCTGGTGACGGAGGATGGCGTGGAGGTCCTGACCGCTCGCCTGCCGGACTCGCCTGGTGGCCCCATTCCCATCCCCGTGGCTGAGGAACCCAAGACAGACGCATGATTTCCATTGTGGTCAGAGAGATAGAGTAGAGCATTCATGAAGAGATTCTGTAACGTCCATGTAAACGAATCGGTGTGTTTTTCTGTCCTTTGATATCGGCGTCACTCCTTTGGAATTGTGTTACTTGGAAGACATGCATAGCCACAACTATTATGATCAACTTTCCCTTTATCATGGAGGAACCTATAATACCATGGATCTCGGTCGTCTCTCTACAGCATGGCTTCACTTCCAACCCCAACCGGCCCGAACAACAACCTCGGCGATGGATGGGGCGGTAGATGGATAAGGAGCAGAACCAATACAGTAACTAATGATGATAGCAGATAACTAATGGCAGGCGGATAATCTCCGACGGTCGGACCTTGATTGGGAATAGTAGCGCATCTTATCACGATTAGGGCCTCAGGCAAAGTGGGGGTGGCAGCCTGATCCGCCGGTGATTTGTCAGGAATGGGTGGGGAGGCTTATCAGCACGTGAGCAGCACTATGAAGCACCTCATAGTCCAAAAGCCTCCCTCGTCTCATCTTTTTCCTTTCCTGTTCCTGCAATTCATGCGCATATTGGCTTGCTAGTCTCTGACCAGTGGAGACAGTGTCGGAGTCAACGATGCCAGCGGAAAGAACCCCGACGGAGACATCCCCGCTGCTGGGCTCTCAAAGTAACACTCAATCCACAGGGACTATCTCCAATGTCGGCGATGTTGAGGCTGGCACCCAACAGCTCCCCGCGCGGGACGAGGAGGAGAATCAGACCAAACTTGCGTCGGAGGCACGCCCAAATCTGAAGTATATTCTGCCCGCTATCTCTATAGGGGTATGTATCCTTGCTTGTTATCAAATAGACATAGTGCTCATGCATCTGGCTAGATTTTCCTGTCTGCAGCCGATCAGACCATCATCATGGCCAGTTATGGTCAAATCGGTAGCGATCTCAAGGCCCTGAATCTGACAAATTGGATCGCTACTTCGTATTTCTTGACTCTGACTTCATTCCAACCTCTCTACGGAAAACTGAGTGACATTTTCGGTCGCAAAACCTGCCTGTTGTTTTCCTATGCCATTTTCGGGATCGGCTGTCTGTTCTGTGGTCTTGCGCAGGATATCAACCAGCTCATTGCTGCACGCGTAAGCAACCCTGCTCTTCTGTACTCGCTAGATGCTAATCAGTAACCCTACTACAGGTTTTTCAAGGTGTCGGAGGCGGCGGTATGACGACTGTAGTGAGCATCCTCATGAGCGATATCGTGCCTCTCCGCGAACGGGGTGTGTGGCAAGGGATCATCAACATGATTTACGCGACCGGTGCTGGAGTTGGCGCACCTCTTGGTAAGACATTCGCGCTGCTATCTTGTGCTTTCGTCTGACCGGTCACTGCAGGTGGCATCTTGGCCGATTACATCGGCTGGCGATGGTGAGTCCACTTTCTTGTTTCAGACCAACAAAACAGACCGCTTACCCTATGTCGCCAGGGCATTCATCGCGCAGGCGCCCCTCTGCGCCCTTGCTTTCGTCGCCGTTACCGTAATGCTTCACCTGCCGGCCGTGGAGGATAGTCACTGGCGGACGAAACTCGGGCGCATCGACTTCCCTGGGGCGATCGTTCTGGTGGGGGCGGTGTTCGGGTTCCTCCTGGGGCTGGACCGCGGCAGCAACGTCTCGTGGACGATCCCGATCACGGTGATCTCGCTGAGCGTGTCCGGGGCGCTGTTCGTGCTCTTCGTGGTGGTCGAGTGCTTCTACGCGGCCGAGCCCTTCGCGCCGGGCCACATCATCTTCAACAAGACCTTCTTCGCCGCCTACGGCTGCAACTTCTTCAGCTTCGGCGGCTGGATGGCTGCCCTCTTCTACATCCCGCTGTACTTCCAGGCCGTCGACGGCGTCTCGGCCACGGTCGCGGGCCTGCGCCTGCTGCCCAGCATCCTCGCCGGCGTCAGCGGCTCGCTCTTCGCCGGCTTCGTGATGAAGTGGACGGGCAGGTTCTACTGGCTGACGGTCTTCGCGTACGCGCTGCTCACGCTGGGCCTAACAATCACCACCCTCGCCTCCGGCGGTGCGTTCGAGAACACCATCGTCATGGTCCTGGGCACGGTCTTCTGTGCCTTTGGAAACGGCATCGGCGTCACATCCACGCTGATCAGCCTGAGTAAGCCAGCCCTGTATCCCTTATCCCCCCGGGCTCACCGCTAATCTGTCTGGAATAGTCTCCAACGCAACCCCCGAAGATCAAGCCGTCGTGACAGCCTGCTCGTACCTCTTCCGCTCGCTCGGCTCCGTCATCGGCCTCTCGCTTTCCTCGACGGTCGTGCAGCAGGTCCTCCGGGACCGGCTGCAGTGGGCCCTGCGCGAGAGCGACGACATCGACCGCATTGTGGCCGGCGTCCGCCAGAGTCTGGATTTCATCAAGACGCTGGATCCCGCCGTGGCCAGGGTGGTGCGCAGCTGCTACGGCTGGGCGACCAACAAGAGCTTTGCCTTTGTGGTGGGGGTCGTGTTTTGCTCGTTTGTCTCGAGTTTGTTTATTCATGAGAAGAGGCTGGCGAGGTGAGGCGGGCTGGGTTTGCTTGTCCGTGGGATATGGTTGTTTCACGGGTTTCTGGGAATGGAGGGGACGATTATGGGATATGCCTCTGGCTATGTTTGTTGAAAAGTTTGGTTTGGTTTTCTTAGCGTGAGGGAAAAGGGGGGGGTTAGGGGTGAGGGGTTTTGGTGGTTAGAGGGGGCTAGAGTTACTGTCATGCTTAGATGGGTTCATGAATATGTCTAGTTTATATAGAATACGATGTCGTACAAAGCCTGCAAGTTTCTCCTTATCTGGTGGCCATCGGCGAGAGTCAGAGATCAGGTGTCTACCGATAGAATTACGGTGCTCGAGAACTGGTACCTCTGAAGCTCATCCTCTGGTGACACACCAAATCCCAAAACCCAACGATACTATATACATGGACGGAAGAAATGCAGACCCAGGTTCCTCAACAGCCCCCTCACCCCCAGCCCTCCTTATACTTATACACTATCCTCAAAACCCCCTTAGCAAAGGCGAGGAATCAGA